TTGAAAGGGACCTTAAAGCCCATCCAGTGCCATGGGCAGGGACACCTTCCACCAGCCCAGGTTGCTCCAAGCCCCGTCCAACCTGGCCTTGGACACTTCCAGATTTATACCTGGAACAGATCAGGTTTATTCCAGGAATACCTAAAGGTTTTCTTCAAAGCACAAAAGAGATGTGAAGATTTCAGCCACGATTATTCCCCCAGCTCTCTCCACGTCTGGGCAGCTCAGGGGTTAAAATAAAACGCCGGAAAATTTCGGTTCTAGAAGCGCAAAAATTCCAAAGCTGCAGATTTCCTTCTCTTTTCCTTTGCATCATCACTTTTTTTTTTTTTCCCACCCCCCTCACGATTTTGACAGCCCTGACACAATATTTTTGCACTCCTGAGGACGGCAGGGCCGCCTGATGCCCCGACATCCACACACAGCCAAATTCCCCCTTTTCCTTTGCACTTGGAAATCCAGGCTGGAGCTGTCTGTGTGCCCTGGCCCTGCCAAAATCAGGCTGCACAGACATTTCACATGTTCAAACCACGGCTTTGCACGAGAAGATGAGCAAAAGGAATATTTTCCTCTCACAAGTCATTTGTCAGACGAGATATTTCAGCTTCCCAAGATATCAATGGATCCTCGGTTAAAGACTTCCTAGGATGACAATGCACTTCGTTCTGTTTGCCCAGTCAGTGATAATTAAACCTCTTCTTGCATTACAAACCATATGCCAACGTGACACGGTGGCAGCAGCTCCAGCAGCAGCCCCATCCCAAGCTCCAAACCAGTGTTTTCCTTCTTTGCTCCTTATTTGCATTGCAAAGAACCATTTAAAAAAGCAAGCTGAGATCCTGAGGCAGCAGCAAAAGGAGGATTTGGGGAGTCCACGCTCTGACTGTTTCCGTGAGGGGCTGTGAAGGAAAAGGTGGTTTTGTGGCATCTCCAAATCCAGAGGAAAACCAAAGCAGCCTCGGGGTTAAATACAGGATCAGGTGCTGCTGTTTGAACTCAGTGTTGGTAAAAATCACCCCTGGAGCCAAAGGATTCACAGCTGCCCTGTGCCCACAGGGTCTGAGGGGCCTGGGTGAGGGAGGAAAGGTCCTATGGGGTGTCCTGGCCATGGGTGGGATGGAGAGGCAGGGCCTGGAGGGTTCTTTGGGTCGGTGTTTCCTCTGGGATAGAGCCTTGCAGGAAGCACAAGCCAAGGGCACCACCATGGACCAGAGAAATGAATGTTATTCCACGTGAAGACCCCCCTGTGGTGATGGAGGTTGGTCCACCTTTAGCATTTCTGGAGCCCTAATGGGGTGCAACACCAGGGCTGAGACAGCAGCTGGGTGGGGACAGCCCCAGGAAGCTCTGGGAAAACTTGGACTAACATGGGACAGCCAGCTGGGAAAGCAGCCACATTTGAGGGAAAGTTGGGAACTGCAGGAAAAAAAGGTCAGAGGACTCAACCACACAAAAATCATTGTCTAAGAGGCAGCCAAAAGAGCAGCTGCTGGGCCCAGGATGGGCCCATCTACTGGGAAAATGGAGCAGCAAAACCAGTCTGGAAAACATCTGAGGAGTTAAAGATAAGGAGGGAATGGAGCAGGTCAGGTTTTAATCATGGAATGCTTTGGGGTGGAAGGAACCCTGAAGACCATCCAGTCCCATGGCTGGGACACCTTCCACTAGCCCAGGTTGCTCCAAGTCCCATCCAACCTGGCCTTGGACACTTCCAGGGAATTAAAAACTCAACTCCTTCCACCCTGGAGGTTCCCCAGGGCTGGAGCTCCCCATGCCCACCTGCCTTTGGCACTGCAATGCCAACATCCCACCCCACATCCACCTTCATCCCCCTCCACAGCCAGGGCTGGAGTTCCCTGCTAAGAGCTCTGTGCCCTTGGCAAAGCCTTTCCTTAGAAAGCCAAGTTTGGGAAGTCCCAGTGGCAGCAGCTGAGGAGATTTAATTCCAAACACATTTACATTATTATGCAAATATTTGGAAATAATCAACTCCTTCACTTACCTACTAAGAGCTAAGTGTTTCCATGGGAACAGCAACTATTAACCACTATAGTTAATATTTTGGATTCTGGTGGTGTCCAGAGAGCTCCATGAAGATTGAAGACATCTTGTACAAGGCGCCGTACAAACGTGGGAGATGAAAAGTCTTTTGTTGAAAGGCAAAGATTAATGTTTTACAGGCTTCAAAGTCAAGTACCAGCTCTACCTGAGCCTGTAAGAACACGGCCAAGTTTCCTTGTAACGAGTCCAAGAGCTTCTCCTCCACCATCTGACCAATCCAGGCTCTGGTTTTATAGTTTTGCCTTGAATCTTGGAAAATTTCAACCCAGTTCTAGGGATGTGAGAATCCCTCCCTGTGCCTCTAATCCTCAGCTTAGCACAAATTTCAGTGCAATATGTGTGAGATTAGCAGTGGGGAGGTCATGGGGGGCAGGACAATCAACAGAGGACATTGTTCCATTGTGCCCTTCCACGTGGGCTCAGATGCCAAGTCTGCACTCAAAAACACCCTGAAAGCCACAAGATTTTTGACAGAACTGAAGGCACTCGGGGTTGGGTTTTTCCCCACCTCAGGTTTGAAGTGCAGGGCCATGGACAGGCCTCCTTTGCCACAGGCAGGGCTTGAAGGTTGTCTGAAGGGAGCAAGCAGAGCAGCAGCTGCCATCTCCCCTGGCCTCCAGAGGAGAGTGATGCTCACAGATGTGGAGGTACCAGACTGGAAGCCTCCTCCCACAAGACTTGGTTGATCCTCCTCCCTCATTGTTTTCCCTCCTAATTCATTTCTTCACTTGCTTGTTGCTTCTTTTTTGCCTCCTGTGTCATGAGAGGCTGATTTACCCACCCAAGACTGAGCTACCTTTCCCAAAATCACAGTGGCAGGGAAGCACAGCTCTGAAGGCAGCACATTTCTGGGTGGGTTCCTCCTAAAGATTCTCCACAAGGCAGATCCTGGGGCTGTGGAGAACCTTCCTGTCCATGGAGAACCTCAGAGGGGCCCAATAAAAACCTCAGCTCTGGAGCCAGGCTGGGAGAGCTTGGGGGGTTCACCTGGAGAAGAGAAGGATCCAGGGAGAGCTGATCCAGAGCCTAAAGGGGCTCCAGGAGAGCTGGAGAGGGACTGGGGACAAGGGATGGAGGGACAGGACACAGGGAATGGCTTCCCACTGACACAGGGTAGGGTTAGAGGGGATATTGGGAAGGAATTGTTGGCTGGGAGGGTGGGGAGGCCCTGGCACAGGTTGCCCAGAGAAGCTGGGGCTGCCCCTGGATCCCTGGAAGTGTCCAAGGCCAGGTTAGATGGGTTGGAGCCAGTGGAAGGTGTCCCTGCCCATGGCAGGGGGTGGAATGGATGGTCTGTAAATTCCCTTCCCACTCAAACCAGTTTGTGATTCCACGATACAAGAACCCAACAAGGTTGAACACACAGAGCTCCAGGGCTGTCTGTCCACCCCTGGGACAGCCCTGAGCCATCAGTGAGGTGGTTTCCTGCCCCCACGAGCTCCCCCAGGGAAACATCAGAGGTAGATGCTCTTCATCTTCCCCCTCTGCACCGTGAACAGCCTGTAAAGGGACAAGACTCCCAACCAGGGTACCAGAAATGATTATTCCAAAGGAGGGTTTCCTCCCCCTCCCCTGGGCCAGGTCAGGCTGACTTGGATCTCCAAACTGGAAGGCAAAGCTCCTGCTCTGAAAGCCTGAGCCAACCTGACCTGAGTGCCAGGACCACGGGAAGCTGCTGGAATCGGGAGAGTCAAACCCCACACAGATAAATTTTAAGTTTTGAATGACTCCAACCCCCTTCTCTGCTGCTGAGCTGGAGTTTGAAAGGTGCTCGAGGGGCCTCATCTGTACAGGGTGACAGAGCAACGGTGACACGAGACCTGAAGTGATATTTACTCCTTTTCCTGATACCAAAAATAAACACAACCTCCTCCTCCTCCTCCTGAACAACCCTCCCCACAAAGCTCTGCCTTGAGCTGCCAGACAGAATAGAGGCTGGCAATTTTTCCAGTGTTTTTTTATTTTTTTGGATGCTTTGTTTCAAATGTCAACAGTGGCTTCATGAGAACTGCAGCTGCCACTGCTGAGGAGCTGATAAGGTTTGCCCTGAACGGGTGGGTGGCTTTGGTGGCACGTGTCACACTCCAGGTTCATTGAAGGAACTGGCACCAGTTCTGCCAGCAAATTCCCACTGTGGCACCTGGGTTGGGATGGTGGGAACTGGGAACTAGGGAATTGGGACTTGGTTTTGTTTCTTCTGGAAGTTTTTGATTGCACATTTTGTTGTTTATTCAGATTTTGTCAATAAAAAGCTGTTGTTTTTTTTTTCTCCTTTTCCACATTTCTACCTGAAGTTTCTTAATTTCTAAGTTGTAATCTTGTTAAACTAAGACACCATCCCGACCCATGAGACCTGTGGGACAGTCCAAAGTTCCAGCTTTCCTGGGCAGCACCTCCTGTGCCAGGACCAGTGCAGCTCTCACAAGATGCTCAACCCAGTTGATTCCATCCATCCCAAATGCTCCCAGTCCAAAGAACCCAGTCCTTGACCCACCCAAGCAGCACTAACCCAGCAGAGACAACTATCAGGGCAACAAATGTTCCCAAATTCCAAGGAAGAGGAAAACACAGAGAGCAGCTGAAGGTCCACCTTGAACTTGGCCTCCAAAAAATGCTTTTCCAAGGAAGAGGGACGTGCTGGAGCCTCTGAAGGAGACACCACACCTCCTGTCACCCAAAAATGCCCATCCTTGCCCCAGGACAGGTGGTGACACTCCTGTTTGGCCTCCCAAACTTTGGTGCCAAGATTTCCAAGCCCAGCACTCCCAGATGAGCTGAAATACAGAAATGCTGCTCCCAGCTGGCAGCCACAGAAGAAAAGCAACTCATTTCTGCACAGACTGAGCTCCTCTTGCTTTCAGGAGCTGGTTTAGACATTGGGTGGGATGGGATGGGAAGGTCTTTCCAAAAAAATCACCAGAGGAAAAAGAAGGTCTTACCTGTTTCTCCCCAGATGGGTAAATATTCATCCTGCTGGATGTCCAGCATGATCTCCAGCCCATTGCCTGTCCCCCCCTTCACTGTGGTGAGGAGAGGCCGCCCTTCTTCTCCTGAGTTGAACATGTAGCATTTCCCATATCTTGTAAACACCTGGGGGAAGAGAAAAATGATATAATATTTCCCCAATTTTCTAAATGCCTGCAAGGAGAGAAGAGAGAAATGACATAATATTCCCTGTATAATCAACCCCTGTTTCCACGCCAGAGGGATGGGAAACAGCCATGGCTTTGGAGGGAAATATCCCCAGAAAAATCCATCCTGGTTTAATCACTCAGTGCATCGTGTTCTCCTTCCAGATAAGAAAAGATGGAAGACAGGAAGGGAAAACTGTTTTAGAGCAAAGAACAAATGTCTTCAGCAGCTCGCTGGAGTCAGATCGTGTTAAATCTCTGAGAAACAAGCTGTGTTTGGGCAAAAAATAACCCAATTCCCTGGGTTTGTGTGAGGCCACCACTGCTGCACGTTCCTGCCTGCAGACACAGAGAGGGGATCACCCCAACAGGAGGAAACTTGAGCCCACACTCACTCCATGCTCATCCAGCTGCTGAAAATCGACCCCTGCAGGCACAGCTCCCAGCCATGGGAATGATCCCTGTGCTCTCCTGACACAAACGACACAAGAATCCCTTAATTCCTCACTCCCACTCCTTGGCAAATTAAATTAGAGTTTAAAACAGTTGGGCAAATGAGGGAAGATCTTCTCCACTGGGACAGAGGGGGGTCCTGGGAGTCCCCAACACCTGGCACTAGGTGGGGTGACAGTGAGGGACCCCAAAACCTGGCACCAGGTGTTCTGTGTCCCTTGGGGTGTTCCCAAACTTGGCACCATCACTTTTCCTCCTCTTTAGTCTCATTTTGGCCTGTTCCTTGAAAGAAACTCTGGGCAAAACCCAGGTGGGGGGTCCCAAGCCACCACTGGTGACATCACCTTCCAAGTGGGGTGGATGTGGGTTTCCAAGGGATGGACACAAGGGTTTCCAAGTGGGGTGGACATGAATTTCCAAGAGGGGGACACACAGGTTTCCAAGTGGGGTGGACATGAANACATGAATTTCCAAGAGGGGGACACACAGGTTTCCAAGTGGGGTGGACATGAATTTCCAAGAGGGGGACACACAGGTTTCCAAGTGGGGTGGACACAAGGGTTTCCAAGTGGGAGGGACACCAGTTTCTGTGTGGGGTGGACATGGGTTTCCAAGTGGGGTGGATGTGAATTTCCAAGAGGGGGACACAGAAGTTTCCAAGTGGGGTGGACACAGGTTTCCAAGTGGGTTGGATGTGGATTTTCAAGTGGGGGGACCTGGGTTCCCAAATGTGGTGGCTTTTGGCGGGGTAGCAGAGATGTGACATCTTTGATGATGGTGACACCAACCAGCTCATGCTCAGCCTTCCCCCAGCTGGGAGAACACACGGAAAACCAAAGGTTAAACCCCAACAAGCCCCTCCTAACACCTGGCACTGCCAGAGCAGGGCACATCTAGACAGGCAGAACTTCTTCCTACAACACACAGGAGGACAAAAGGTCCCAGAGCCATTTGGAAACCCCCCAATCATCCCCTGTGGTGGCTTCTGCCAAAGGGAACGGGGAGCCTGAGTCGCCTTCAAGTCCCAGCTCCACAAAGCCCAGTTTGTGAAACCAGTCAGCAACCAGCAAACACCAGTACTGGCTACTCTGAGCCCAGCACCAAGAGGACCCGGGCTCCAGGCTGTCATAAATCCCAGCTAATGGGGTTGCTGAGCTCATGTGACCCCAAGATGAGTCATAAAACCAACCAGAAGCCGGAGTCATCAGCAATTTATTTCCCTCAAATATTGACACGGGTCTTATAACCACAGAGTTGAGAAGCAGGTGAAATGAAGAGAGACATGAAATGATAGTCAAGTCTAAATATGAAATGTTTGCAGGGGGGAAAAAAATGATGCCCTTTAAAAAAGATTTTATATCCAAATGAAAAAATCCCATTTTAATACTTGGCTGACCTATTAAACCATCCGAGCTGGAAAGATAAGCTGAACAGTGAGCCTGTGTTTGCAGCCAGGGCCCCCCTAAATGGCTTTTCCCAGATAAGCTTTGAAGGCAGGAGTCAAAAATTTCTAATTGGGGGGAGTTTCAAACACAGGAAGAATCAAAACTGGCTTAGTGGAAATCATGGGGAAACAGGGAAGCCTGGAATGAGAACAGGAAATGCTGGATAAGGATTTAAGAGCTGCTGTACACGGTGTAGTCTTTTAGCCAAATAAATTCAGGCAATTTTATGGGCCCTGTTTTTTATATGGCCCTTTGCAGCTGTAAAAATTCCTGTGTAAACCCTTTGTGTTTATCCAAGGAACACGATGGAACAGGACAGGGGCTGCAGGCTGTTCCTCACCCTCTCACCTTTGCTGGGAGTGATTATTTGGGAAGAGACAACATCTTTTTCTTTTTTTTCATGGGATCCTCTTGGTTTCAGGCTCCCTGATAACAGGGAAGGATTCGGAGCATTATCTGATCATCAGGATAAAACAGGGAGCTGTTTGAAAAGGGCAACATCAGTCTCTCCACTGTGATACACCTGAGACAGTAAACACGAGGCAAAGTAGGATGATTTAACCTCAGTTTATGTGTCTTCAGGGAAAACAGCACTTCCTTGCTGTTAGTGATGTTTAATCTTGCAATAAAAAGGTCCAGCACAAGCCAGAAACAAAAATACAGACAAGTACCCTGAGAATAGTCTATAAAAATACCTATTTTTTCTCTTTGATGGATCACAGCTCCTTTTGACAGCTCCTCTGAAAATCCCTGTTGGAGTACAAAGGTAAATAAGCTCTGAATCTATGAAATAGGATTTGATGGAATCATTGAGGTTGGAAAAGACCTTTAAGATTACCGAGTCCAACCTGTTAACTGACCACCACAGAGCCCTTCCCTAGCAAAGGGAAAGCCCTTCCTTAGATGATAAAAGGGAAAAATGTGTATTCTGTGAGATGAAAACACAAACCACGGGTATCCCAAACACATTCCATGCCCGAAACAAACCATCAAAAGCTCTGGGACATCAGTGTACAAACACATCCTGCTGCATGTCAAACCACCAGGCCAAACAAGAGCGACATCCCAAAGGCAAGGAAGCCTGACCAGGGTAATAGAGAAACAGGTATTTCACAGTTTATAACCAGGATCCACAGGACAAGCGTGTCTGCTGATAAATTACCCTTTCAGCACAGAGAAAAATGATGGCAAAAGCAAGTAATTTGAAGTCTGTAAATTACTTTTCTAAATGCAGACAAAGAGGCAGGTGAGAGCTCGCCGGCGAGGAGAGCTGTGATTGTCACATCAAGGCACAAGCGGGGAAAAGAGAGGGAATTAGCAGCCTGGGCAATCATTTCCTCCACATTTGTGGTGCACAAAGGTTCAAAGACACATATCCCAGCAAGCCACCATCCAGCAGTAACAGAGAAGAGAGGAAAACAAAGATTTTCCAGGCGGGTCCGGGAGAAGGGGAACGCGAAGCTGGAAGTGGAGGAGGGAGATGGGTTTGGGCAAGAACCCCCCTGGGATGGTGGGGAAAAGATGCTGTTTAGGAGGGAAGCAGACTTCATCTCTGAGGTTTTGGCAGGGCTGTACATTCCCATGGTTCCCAGCTCTCCTGTGGCACCTGCTGAGCCTGTGGTGGCACTGAGCCATGTCATTATTCCACTGGAGGTGTGAGGAACAGCACGGTCCTGTTGGCTCCAGCCAAGTGCATCCCCGTGGTCCATTTGTTCACAGCCCGGCAGGAGGGACATTACTGAAAATGAAATGATGGCTGGGAAAAGAAAATTGCAAGGGACGCCCACAATAAGGGGTTTCTGAAGCGTCAGATCCCAAGAGGATCCTTCTCCAAGAAGGATGAGCCTGCAAGTGCAGCCTGGGAAGGGGGAACTCATGTTAATGGGCAAAAAGGACTTGATATCCCTTCCAAATAATGGGCAAAAGGGAAGCAATCAAGCCCCTATCTCATGCAGAGGGGGATGCAAACCAAAGCAGCCTTTAGGGCATCCTCTTCATCAGTTTAGATGTATCCCAGTCCTACATCCTGTATCCTGGGGGATACAAAAATCCCAGACCCACGGATTCAAAAGGTGACTTAGTGGGTCACCGTAAGGCAAGACACGGCTCTTCCAACCACTAACACAGACCAGTAGGGGAAACAAGAAGAGATGAGACACTTTGATATCTTCTCTCTCTCAAGGGGCAGCCACAGATTTCTCCTTCCATCTCCTACATCCTGTATCCTGGGGGATACAAAAATCCCAGACCCACGGATTCAAAAGGTGACTTAGTGGGTCACCATAAGGCAAGACACGGTTCTTCCAACCACTAACACAAACCAGCAGGGGAGACAAGAAGAGATGAGACACTTTGGTATCTTCTCCCTCTCAAGGGGCAGCCAGGGATTTCTCCTTCCCTCCCTGTTTGTTTTGGACTGTCAGGAAGCTGGCAGAGCAGCGTGGCAGACGAGCAGAATCTCCCCCCATCCCTCCCGGTGTCAGGTTTAATCTCGGAGCAGGGAAGAGTGATGGGGCTGGAGCTCGGGGAGGCAGCGCCACAGAAGTTGTCAGAGCCATGTTTACAAGGAGAGGGTTTTCCTTTCGGCCTCCAAGGCTGAGATGTCCCCGTGGGACCTGCCAGGCAGCGCTGCCAGGCACGGCACCGAGATGTTTCCTCACAATCAGCTCCGTGTCTGCCCGGGCCCCTCCGGGCTCTGCTGTCACGGGCCTGTCTGGGAACAGCCAGGATGTCAACTCTGCTTTTATCCAAGGCTGCTGCTTCGAAATCAGAGCTCACCGAGGTCCCAGGCACCACCTGAGGGCAGGTGAGGCTTGTTGCTGGCATTAATGTGGTTTCTTTTCCGACCCAGCAGCAGCCAGCATCCCAAATCTAATAACAAGCTGCTCCATAACACACAACACTCCTGAAACATCCATCTCTGCCTCCAAAAACCAGTTTTTGCTACTGGACATGATGAACTCTGGTTTTAATCCGAGTTTATTTTACAGGATGGCATTAAACATCACCCTGTGGCTCACAACTCATCCTCCTGCATTCCACCCTTCAAGACCAGTTCAAC